TTTAGGAATAGAAACCTAAGGATAGCCTATCTTATTTATCTTTAATAAATATATATTTTATCTATAAACTATTGTCTACCTGAACTGCCACAGATAGAAGAGTATAGTTTCTCCAAGAAGCAGAAATTATACTTACCTGTTGGATGCTATTATAAACCTGTGAAGGATCTCTGTAGCTGTGTTATTGTTATAGTACTGCTGTTAAGAAGGCCACAATACTGTAGCAATACCTTGTGCAAGATAATAATATAATTAAACCGATTAGTATTAGTAAAGTTTATGCACATGCATATAAATATACTATATATACAGAATTGAGTTATAGTGACTAGAAGTAACCTGTTTTTTTAGATATACTGCATTGTTATTTCAGCCACGAAGCTGCAACCCATTTAGTAAAGGTCCATACACTATTACAGTAGCTATGGAGCCTAAAACAAGGTTTTTGCATGCTACCACCTAACTGCCAAGGTTCCCATACTGCTACTGCTGCCTAATTGCTACAAAAACCAGATATTACACTACTACTACAGCTATAGATCCTAATTACTAAGATCTTTGTATTGCCTCAGAGCTACTACAAAAACAAAATCTTTGTACTACTGCAGCCTCAGGGCCTATTCACTACAAAAAGAAAATCCTTGTTCTACTGCAGCAGCCATGAAGCTTCATAGTTATAGTTGCCATCCAAACTTAACTACATCAGCAAAATTTACAAGAAGATTAATATCGATTTTAAATAGTTATTAAATAAGTATCAATTTAAATTCCCCTCACCGATTATTATCAATTTAGATAGAAATCGATAGTAACTCCACCAATTACTATCGATTTAGATAGAAATCAATAGTAATCCCGCTGATTACTATTGATTTAGATAGAATCGATAGTAATTCTGTCAATTTCTATCGATTTAGATAGAAATTGATAAAAATCTCAATTCATATCAATTAACGTATACGTAATGATTTTAATCAAATTTTTCTAATTGTACCAATATCAATATCATCATACTGTATACTTATTATTCATATTTAGTAAATCAATACTAATAAATCAAATATTTACTTTTTAATATGCAAAAAAAATGCTTATTGCAATAGAATTTATTAATTGAAAAATAAAAAATACAAATTGCTGAATTACATGCAATGAACATAACTAATTAAAACTAAATTAATCAACATAATTTGTGAAACCAAACAAATCATCAAGAAGTATTAGATCTGAATTCAGGAGTATTCGCCCATGATTCAGAACGGGGCCGACCCCCTGCTTCATTATCCATAATCATTTCTGACGAATTATAAGAGGGACCATCGTTATTAAAATCATTCTATATTTATTAAAACGTTAGTATTGTACAATAATCTTATAATAAAGAAATAAAAAAAAATAGTAAATACATACAAGATAGCTTTTAATCTGACGTTTCATATTTTTCTCATCACATATAATACTTTTAGATTTGGGATGCAAGAATACGTCCACACCATGAGTGCAAAAGCGCAATGTTCATTCGTTAGAGTAGGAACTGCAACTTCTGAAAATGCAGTCCTTGCTATTATGAAGATCCAGAACAAACCATCATCATTTTTTTCAAATAATAAACGATGCCATTCGTTTATTTTTAGATTTTCTTTCTACTTTATAATTATATGGGCCTTGGTGTTACTTTTCAAGAGAGGTAACCGTTCCAATCCAAAAACTTTCCATATTGTTGACCTAATGCTCTGCATCACTAAACCTCTATAATTCTTCATTTTTTGAAGAAGCTATTAAAATAACAAATTTATACAATTAAATATTTAAAGTAGTAATACTTTAATACAAAGATCGTGAATATAAAATAATATTATAAGCAATTAATAACAATAACAAATTAAAAAAAATTATTATTGATTATTATTAATTAATAATATACCACACTACATTATTCACCGTGAAAATGATTTGTAAATTGGTTAGAAGTCATACTACTCAAGAACTCAGGGAATTGATCCTCAAGGTAGCTCTTCATAGATTCTTTTAGGACATTTTGGTCTGGATAAACATGGAATAGAAATAAACATTTTACAATGCTATTATATATTCCCTTTAAAATAAAAACAGTTACAAAAAACAGGCTAAATCAAAAAACAGGCTAAATATAGAAAAATATATTAAAAGGAAAAATCATTTACATCCATCTCTTGAGGGGAGAGCTTATTGTCATGCTCTTCTCGCTTCCTTTTTAGTTCAGCGGCTATTCCTTAAACATTCTCATTGAGCTGCTTTAATAACTGGTGATTCTGTGCATAAAGTTGTTCGAACTCTTGGCGGTGGTGTCGATGGTCTTTTTTTTTTGTTTTTAATGAAAATCAAAAAAAAAAAATTCTTAATAATAAAAAAAAAAAATAAAACTCAAGTATTCAAAAAAAAAAAAAAAAAAAGCTTATATATTGAAAAAATTACTAATATGGTGCATCTTGGTTGGATGATCTTCTATCATGTGATCTTCCTCTATGCTCATGATCAGGTGAAGGCTGTAGTGATAAGGAACGATTTAAATTGTTATTTGGTGTTATACGACGAGAATGAGGAGGCGAGCGTCTTTGAGAAGGTTGACGAGATTGTTGTCGTTGAGATTGTTGGCGTTGAGATGTTTGTTGTTGGCCTCTTCCACTCATTTTAGAAAAAATGGATTGCATACTTAAAATACTTTTTGTAGATGAATCTGAAACAAGGATTTTTAGGTTGTTTTTGAGAGTTAGCATTGTTAAATATTGGTTAAGGATCAGCAGATTTATATGATGCATTAGTAAACGTTAGTTGAGGATTAGTGAATTTATATAGTGCATTAGAAGAAACAGATTGAGAACGATCAGTTTGAGGCAGTTGTTTAGAGTCAGTGGTATTATATGATGTATCAAAAACAGATTGAGAACGAGCATGTTGAGTAGGGGTAGTAGAAGATAAGTTTTCCATTATTCAAAATTTCAAAAATGTCCTTACCTTCAAACCTTAGAAAACTATTGTATTTATATAATTGTAACGATTTTGCAAGAATTAATAAAATTTAAAATCTAATGACGAAAATGTAATGTAAATAAAAGAGAGATACTTATCTGTTGTTTTTGGTCATTATATTTATAATGACGATGTTCTGAGATTTATCGCATAGTTGAGCTTTTGCTATATTGCATAATTTCGTCACAAATCCAAATAATATTACACTCAATAAGATTATATGAGTGCTGCTAAAGGAATACCTGAGTCATTGGGCTTTCAATTGTATTTTGTACCAGACACAATCTATTTAATTTATTAAGAATATGTCTGGTACAAAATACAATTGAAAGCCCAATGACTTAGGTATTTTTTTAGTGGCACTCATATAACACCAATTTGCCTATATTATTATGTCACACATAATATGACGCAAGTTGTTTACAAAGTTAGTTTCTTGATAAAATTGTTTTGACAGAAAAATAAAGTTAAATTGTTATAAATCAATATAAATCAATATACATTAATATATAGATACAGTTACAAATTAAATTCTCTCTGAATATTACCCTTAGACATTCTTTCGTGACTTTCTTTGACCCTTTTATAATTGATAATCACTTTAATTGATGATCCGCCACTCAACTGAAGAATTTTCTATATTAGGACATGACGCAGATTATATATAAACAAGCTCGAATTGAAATTTTTACATTATAAGAAAAGTCTAATTTTTTAACAAATATAGAAATAAAGTAGTACAAGCAATAGAACGATACCAAAAGCTTCAAATTATAAAATTATTAAG